GTTCATTGTCATTCAGTATTTTCAAGGATTTCGAAATGAAAACGTATTCGATTACAAATCTATAAAATGTCAGGTTATATGTTACGTAAATGCTTTTAATTAGATATTTAGGTCGGCGTAAGTGTGTGGGAATTTTTTTAATATTTTTTGTTATAATATTCGCCTAATTTTACAGTTTTAGACAAATATAAATATATCAAAAATATTTTCAATATTCCGAGACTAGCAGAAATATGACCAAAAATATCAAATTTGACTGGGTTACAAAATCGAGCCCACAATTGCTGATTGGAAACCTTTCTTTTTATTTTCTTAGCTAATATTCAAGTATTTCATATTTGTGCAATAGTATCCACATGAATCCGCTGTAATTTAACACTTGAATTCTCCAAAAAAAAACCTACATCCTAATACAATACAATACAATACATCCTAATTTTCGATATTAAAACAAGTAAGCAAAGACTATAGCACTGCGGGGCCGGCCATATGATACCCTACAACACTACAATATGTTCGAAGCCCTCTTGTATCCAAATCCATTTTGGAAGATTTCGTTTTTGAAATAATGTCAAAGAGCCCCGCCGAGAGGTTACCCTTAGTCTTTTGACCCGGAGAATTTTGTCAATATTTAAACACTCCGTAGTGTTGTTAAGTAATCAAAACAATTTCACACGAAAGTTGTGGTCCATTTTACACTCATCCAAAATGCTAGACTTCTTCCCTGTCTTTAACTCTCTTCTGATGCGAAATTCGGTGTCGATTAGTTTTCAATTGTGGCCTATAGAGCGACTACAAAATCAGAATAAATTATTTTTTTTAGTCCAATTGCACCTCAAAATTTACATCTTAAGATCAATAGGCTTTAATTCTGACCCTAACCCTACCCCATGCAAAATTTCTTGAGGATCGGACGAAAATTGCGATATGCATATAATACCCTCAAGACGTAGTGTAGGGAGGTGTAAAAATGTAGAAAATTTACAATTCAAAATTGTAAGTCATATTGAAAAAATCGATAATGCGATAAAAAATATGACAAAAATTGGAAAAAAATCGACGAAAGATATTCACTTTTTTATTGGTATATTTTACCGCGATTTTCTTAGATATTATCGTTTACTGGCAAGAGGCTTTTCCGAATTGATGGGAATTGTGAAAATCGGCCCAACGGTTCTTGATTTGTAAGCAGAATAAATAAGACCAATTCGTTTACATATATACTGTACCTATTTTGCTATATATCCGATTTCTTGGCTATTAGCGTCACTGTAATGGTCAGAAGTGATCTTTTAATGTATTTTTGATTTGGCTGGGATTGAAAATATTAGCAGTTTAGTGGCAATTTCCCTATTTTCTTACATAAAAGTTAGGGTATATTTTACCCGCTAATTGTTGTCCGATGGTCGCCTAAATCGGTAGACTTCTGCCCACTCTTAAACTCTAACTCCATGTAAATTTTCGCGTCGATTGGTTCATAATTGTGGCCTATAGAGCAACTGCAAATCAAAAAATTTTTCTGTTTTTGGTCCATTTCAACCCCTAAATATCGTGCGATCATCTCCAAAAACAATAGGGTTCTATTCTGACCATAACCCCACTTCCATTTTCAATTTCGTTAGGATCGGTTCATATTTGTAACCTGTAGCTTGATTACAAATTAGCATGGACAGACGGACATACATAGCTAGATCGACTCAGCTCGGCGAGATAGGAAGATCCATATATACTTTCCTATGTGGGAAACCAATATTTCGTGGTATTACATAATTTTTGGCCCAATCAAACCTTTAATACCCCCAACACAAAGTGTTGTAGGGTATAAAAACCTACTGTATATTCATTAAATGTCAAAAACAGCATATTCATTCTAATATAGTGTGTTTTGAAGGTTTAATCTTCCTTTTCAAACAATACGGTTCTTCTACTTAAAACAGCCACGATTGAATCAACACATCCTCACTTTCGATTTTTTAAAAGTACTGCGTTACCGAAATTACATTTAGGGTACCTTCCTCAAAAACCTCGATTTTTTTTCTCGTCTTGAATTAAACTTCGAAAATAATCATATTTTCATTTCCAATTTATTTTCGGCCCAAAGTGAGAAAAATTTTCAATAAAACCTAATTTATATTTTAAAATGGACAAAATATGTTCCTCTATCCTTGACGGTTAAATTTAAAAAAAAATAAAAAAGCAGCAAGGTTCGCCGGGCCGAACTTTCGTTATCTTCCTCCAAAATCTTTCGAAAAAGTACAATATATGGGGGCTATACGAAGACGTGTAATTATATACAGAATTTTCAGGGGGCAAAGTACTCAGAATTATATCCTGATGTGGATTTTAAGACAATTCCATTGAAAAATGTAGCAAAAACCACGGAAATACAGGATATCGGGAGGTACCGTTATAGGGGCGATATACGATATCGAAGACTTAGGTATACAATTCTTTTCCAGGGGGCAAAGCACTCAGAAGGAACTTCTTGTTTGTCAAAATACCAAATATCAGGAGGTATCGTTACATGGAGAATATACGATATCACGTTACGTTATATGGGGGCTATTCGATATCGGGACCTATATAGACAATTTTCTTGTAGGGGTAAAGTTCTCAGAAGGAACTCCTTATGTGGATTTTCAGACAATTTCATTGAAAAATTTGGCTACAATCATCGCATTCTCTTCCAGAGGGCAAAGTACACAGAAGGAGCTCTTCGTGTGGGTTTTCTAACAATTCCATTGAAAAATTTGGTTACAATCATCAAAATACCGAATATCGGGAGATCCCAATTTAGGGGGATATGCGTTATCGTGGACCTTTGTAGTCAATTCTCTGCCAGGGGGCAAAGTATTCAGAAGGAACTCCTTTTGTGGATTTTCAGAAAATTCCATTGAAAAATGTGGCTAAAATCATGAAAATGACGAATATCGAGAGGTCTCGTTATATGGGGGATAAACGATATCGTGGATCTATGTATACAATTCTCTTCCACGGAAACTTCTTGTGTGTATTCTCAGAAAATTCCATGGAAAAAATTGGCAACAATCACCAAAATACCGAATATCGGGAGGTACCGTTATACGGGGTGTATACAATATCATGGACCTTTATAGTCAATCTTCTCCCAAGGGGCAAAGTACTCGAAAGGAACTCCTGGTGTGGATTTGAGACAATTCCATTGGAAAATTATGAAATTAACGAATATTGGGAGGTACCGTTATATTTGGGATGTACGATATCGTGGACCTTTACAGACAATTCTTCTCCAAGGGGCGAAGTACTCAAAAGGAACTCCTGGTGGGGATTTTGAGACCATTCCCTTGAGAAATGTGGCTAAAATCTCTAGCGTGATTATAACAGACGGACAGGGCTAAATTATCTTAAAATTTTACGCTGGTGAAGAATGTATATTCTTTTTATACCCTCCACCATACTATGGAGGGTATATTAACTTTGTCATTCCGTTTGTAACTCCTCGAAATACTCATTTCAGACCCATCAAAATATAGATATTCTTGATCAGCGTAAAATTCTAAGACAATTTAGCGATGTCCGTCTGTCTATCTGTCTGTGTGTCTGTCCGTCTGTCTGTCTGTTGTAATCACGCTATCTTTCGAACGAATTGAGATAGAAGGCTAAAATTTTGCTCACATGTATATTTTGCCAGTAGGCAGGTTAAGTTCGTAAATGGGCCATGTAGGTCCACGTCTTCGTATAGCCCCCATATAACGGTACCTCCCGATATTCGTTATTTTGATTATTTTAGCTACATTATTCACCGGAATTGTTTCAAATTTGGTATTTGAAGTTCGTAATGGATACTACAGCCTAAGACAGACAATTGTCTGTGCAGGTCCACGTCTTCGTATAGCCCCCATATAACGGTACCTCCCAATATTCGGTATTTTGATGATTTTAGCGTCATTATTCACCGGAATTGTTTCAAATTACTTATGTAGAGTTCGTAATGGGAACTACAGTCTGTGACGGAAAATTGTCTATGCAGGTCCAAGTCTTCGTATAAACCCCATATAACGGTACCTCCCGATATGCCGTATTTTGATGTTTTAGCGACATTATTTACCGGAACTATTTAAAATTTAGTATTTGAAGTTCGTAATGAGTACTAGAGCCTATGACAGAAAATTGTTTGTGCAGATCCACGTCTTCGTATAGCCCCCATACAACCGTACCTCCAGATATGCGGTATTTTGATGATTTTAGTGACACTATTTACCGGAATTGTTTCGAAACTAGTATTTGAAGTTTGTAAGGGATACTACAGCCTAAAACAGAAAATGGGCCATATTGGTTCACGTCTTCGTATAGCCCCCATATACCAGTACCTGCCTTTATTCGGTATTTTGACGAGTTTAGGTACAACACCCACCGAAATTGTTTGAGATGTTGTACTTTAAGTTCGTAATGGATACTACAGCCTATGACAGAATATTGTTTATACTAGTCCAGGTCTTCGCACAGCTCCGAAATAACGGTACCTCTCTATATTTTGATGATTTTATCTACATTATTCACCGTTTATTTCAAGTTTCGAATTTGAATATGGTAATGACTTATGACAAGCAATACCTATGTAGGTCCACGTCGTATAGACCCCCATATAATGGCAATATTCGGTTTTTTAAATTTTAACAGAATTGTTTAAGGCTTTTATTTTTCGAAAATTTCTAAATTCGTTCCAATTGGTGGAGGTTATTCAAAGTTCGGCCCGGACGAACTTACAGCTTTTTAACTTGTGTAGGTCTAAAATTATTATTTCGATGAGTTACAAACGGAATGACAACCTTAATTTACCCTCCATACTATGTATGGTGGAGAATATAAAAAGAGCCACGAAGTAGCTTATGTGAGTCCAACAATGTACTGTTCCACCCTTTAATTTTTCTAATTCCGATTTTAAGGAGAAACACAAATATTTATGTAAACATTATCATCTACAGATTTCATTGTATTAAGCCATTTCCCCTTTATTTTTCAGATTTTTTTGGTTAGTTTCAATCGTAGCTGTACTTCTTAAAGTGACCACGGTAAGTGTTTCAATTTTTTTTATTTAACTAATTTCTTTTATAGGAGAATATTCAACCTTAAAAAATTATCGTTTTTTAGTTTAAAAGTATATCCGAATCCATCTCAATGAAAGTTATATCGTTCATGAGTTTCAAGCAAAAGTTTAACCTAGTTTACGAAGGAACTCCTGCTAGATTCGATTATGTAAAAATTGGTTGATTAAACAAAAAAATATAAGAAAATTAGATCAAGGTGGCTACTTGGAGAAAGTCAACTTTTAAACAAAAAAAAATCCTCTTAGATTTCAAACAACCGTTCATATTCATGACATACTTCCAAAATATTCAGTTGGGAACCTTGGCTGAAAATTACCGGTCTCCATATAAAAAATTTCGCCTCATATTTTCATAACTTGAGTACAAACGCTTTCCTCTAAGGGTAACAGAGTAACATAATGCCGAAGCTTCTTATTTGAGAAATGTCGGATATAATATTATTGAAAATCCTAACCTTTTTCATATTCGAAACTCTTTAGACCACATGTAGTCTTCAAGCAATTCTCTCCCCTTTTTTCAGATGTCATTACATCTGCAAGTGTCTATTGAATAATGACTGGCACACAGAGAGAGACGCCAACTTTCATATGAAACGGATAACTAACCTTATTTTTTCATTAACCTAATTTAGGCTTTTAAAATAAGGAACTTTGCAGTGGCTGCTACTTTTGCAAGCAAGAGGAAACTCTTTATTTTTCAATATTTCCATAACTACAAAAAAAAAAAAAAACGTATGACAGCAAAGACAACTACTAAAACAACAAAAAGACGACAACATAACAGCGAACGGAACAGAAAGTTCTTTTTCGAAAATTACAAACAAAAATCTCTATGAATATGGAACATGGGGCATTTCCTATTTGTATGCTGCTGCTACTGGGGGGGATACAAAGATGTTAGATGCTTGGGTGTTGGGCATGTGAGTGAATGTCTAAATGCAGGGTGAGATGAAAAAATTGCAACCTATTTAAGACTGCTGTCATTTCTGAGCCACTCACCCGACAGCTATTAAAATTATTCCAGTGACAGCTCATTATATTGTTCACAAGCGTACAAAGGCATTTTGGTGAGAGTTTTCCAAAAAAAAATATATATATATATATATTTCGTGATGGAATTCAAGCGTAATGAAGTGATTTCTTCATATTTGGCTGGAAAGCCACAAACGGCTATTGTTAGAGCACTCCAGCATTTAAATGTGAAGAAATTTTTTGTGCTCCTTACCGTGATACTGGTAGCGTAGCCCGACGTCAAGGAAGTGGACGGAAAAAATAACAACATCAGCAGGAATGGTTCGAAAAGTAAAGAAGTGACGAAAACCCGCGTCGAAGTGGCCGAAAAATGTTTCGTGAGCTGCACAAATCGCAATATTCTATTCGGCAAATATTGAAAAATAAACTCGGTCTAAAGCCATTGTATTCCAAAAAGTGCCAGAACTTACACTGCAACAGAAACAAAATAGTCTCAAAAGTGTTAAAGAAACAAGTAAAAAAGCTGTAAGTTCGGCCGGGCCGAACTTTTAATACCCTCCACCATTTGATGCAAATTTGGCAATTTCCAAAAAATAAAACCCGTTAAAAATTCTGTTAAAATCTTAAAAATACGGAATGCTTATACGACGACGTGGGCCTGCATAGCAACTTTTGTCATAAATTATTACAATATTTAAATGCGAAACTTGAAGAAAAATCTGTTTATAATGTAGCTAAAATCGTCAAAATACCGAATATGGGGGGTACCGTTATATGGGGGCTATACGAAGACGTGGACCTGCACAGGCAATTTTCTGGCATGGGCTGAAGTATCCATTACGAACTTCACATACGAAATTTGAAACAATCCCTGTAAATAACGCCGCTAAAATCATTAAAATACCGAATATCGGGAGGTACCGTTATATGGGGGCTATATGAAGACGTGGACCTACATGGCTCATTCTTTGACTTTGGATGAAGCATCCATTACGAACTTCAAATACCAAATTTGAAACGATTCCGGTAAACAATGTCGCTAAAATCATCAAAATACCGAATATCGGGGGTACCGTTATATGGGGGCTATATGAAGACGTGGACCTACATGGCTCATTTTTTGATTTAGGATGTAGTATCCATTACGAACTTCAAATACCAAATTTGAAACGAATCCGGTAAACAATGTCGCTAAAATCATCAAAAAAACCGAATATCGGGGGGTACCGTTATATGGGGGCTACAGGAACACGTGAACCTGCACAGATAATTTTCTGTCCTAGGCTGTAGCATCCATTACAAACTTCAAATGCCAAATTTGAAATAATTCCGGTGAATAATGTCGCTAAAATCATCAAAATACCGAATAGCGGGAGGTACCGCTATAATACTTGGACCTACATGGCAAATTTACCAACTTAACCTGCCTACTGGGAAAAAATACATGTGTGCAAAATTTTAGCCTTCTATCTCAATTTGTTCGAAAGATAGCGTGATTACAACAGACAGACAGACAGACAGACACACAGACAGACAGACAGATAGACAGACACACAGACAGACAGACGGACATGGCTAAATCGTCTTAGAATTTTACGCTGGTCAAGAATATATATACTTTGTTGGGTCTGACATGAATATTTCGAGGAATTACAAACGGAATGACAAAATTAATATACCCTCCATAGTATGGTGGAGGGTATAAAAAGGTCAGCTGAAAATGTGTACCTTCGGTTGGCCACCAGAACTCAAGCGCCAGCAATGGTGATGGTGTGGGCCGCCATAACAGCCGATGGTCGCTCTCCGCTCGAATTAAACGACCGTGGCATCAGAATAAATGCCGAATATTATCGAGAAAATATTCTGGACGGTGTATTAAAGTCATTGGCACGCAAACATTTTGGCCGCAGACCTTGGACATTTCAACAGGACTCAGCATCATCGCACTCAGCACGCGCCACCCAAGAATGGTTACAAAATGAGATCCCTCGCTTCATTTCCAGCGCACAATGGCCACCAAAATCTCCGGATACCAATCGGTTGGACTATTGTGTCTGGAGTATTTTGGAAAGTAAGGTTGGCCCTAAAAAATACCAAAGTGTCGATCACCTCAAGCAAGCGCTTCGCCGGGAATGGTCCAAAATACCGCAGAGCGACATTCGGGTAGCATGTAAAAGTTTGATTGGCCGTTTGAAGGCAATAATTCGTGCCAAAGGTGACGAATTCGAACAAATCTAAACTTATTCTAAAATTTGATGCTATTGCCGACTTGCTTTCATTCAATAAAATTAAAAAAAAAAAAATTAAAAATTATGGCGTTTGACTTTGTTGCAGTTTTTTTCATCTCACCCTGTATATGCCATATGTGTGTGTGAGAGTGTGAATGTGTGAGTGTTTTTATTAAAATCAAGTTAAAAACTTACACAAAAGGGTAATTTCATACATGGTTAGCTTTTATTAGAATAGTAATTCTCACATTTGCCATTGCAACCGTTGAGCTCTATACGAGCAAGCAACCAGCAAACACACACACACACATGCACTCCTACATTCACAAAAATATAGACATTTCTTCTCATACATACCTCTCAATGTATATACGTATGTTCTCTCATATGCATATAGATGTGTGTTTTGTAGGGATTCATGTTATAACACAGAGTTCGGTTCGCTTTCTTTTTTGAATAACGAACCGGGTGAACTTTTGCCATGATAACGACACACAAACACACATATTTGCATTCACACCGTCTGTATGTGTATACATGTGGGTGTGTGTGTGTGTTTGTGTGCTTTTGGTACACTGACATTTTGAATATACATTTATATTATATAGTTAACGGAAATCATTTCCCGTTTTTAGCTTCCAATTTGTACCAAACACACACACACACACGCTCTCATACCCGCTCCCGCTCCCACTCCATTCCTCATATCCCTTTCCACTACTACAACGACGACGACGACCATTCGTTCCAATTGCAAACTTTAGCAGCCGTACAATGTATTCATCCATTCGTTCATTCATTCATTCAGTGGATTTGGTTAACTCCTTTTCTCGTTGAATTGAAAAAGGATGTGGCGGAATTTTATAGAGTATTGCTCAGTATTCTGAACCGGGAGGGGGAACAAAAAGTTTAAATTGAAACAAATTCAAATTACACACATAGAGTACTTTTTAGCAGCTGAGTTTTGAAATGGGCGTCGTAGATTGGCGAAATTATTTTCGCTTAGATTATGTCTTAGCGATTTAGATTGCGAAACGCAAAAAGGAAATCCTAAGCCGTTTGATAATCAAAGTTGAGTTTTGTATTTGCTATACAAATTTTAAGTCATTTTATTTAAAATCAGATATGGAAAACAGGAGTTGTTGGGAGGACGCAAGGATATGTCAAGCAAAATATTCAACTAGTAAGAAAAGGATGAAAATTCAGGGAAGTTTATATTTAACAGTTCGTAAAGAAATAAATATACCTTTGTGCAACACAAAAAATAAAACTAAAACAAAACAAGTAAAAAAGCACCTAAGTTCGGCCAGGCGAACTTTTAATAAACTCCACAATTTTGAAAGAACTTCAAAATTTTCCAAAAAAATTCCATAGATAAATACCGCTCTAAGGGAATCTTTATTTGGGGGCTATACGAAGACGTGGTCCTGAATGTATAATCATAAGTTGTAGTACCCATCACGAGCCTCACATACAAAATTTGAAACAATTCCAGTGAATATTGTCCCTAAAATCATCAAAATACCGAATATCGGGAGGTATCGTTATATGAGACCTATACGAAGAAGTGTATCTTTAAATGCAATTTTTTGTCATAGTCTACAGTACCCATGACAGACTTCAAATACGAAATTTGAAAGAATTCCGGTAAAAAATGTCTCTAAAATCATCAAAATACCGAATATCGGGCCTATACGATATTGTGTACCTACATAGACAATTCCCTTCCATGGGGTAAAGTATTCAAAGAGTACTCCTTGTATAG